CTGTGCGCAAGCTGCAGGAGAGCGGCTTCTACTGGAGCACGGTGACGGGCGGCGAGGCCAACCTGCTGCTGAGCGCCGAGCCGGCCGGCACCTTCCTCATCAGGGACAGCTCGGACCAGCGGCACTTCTTCACCCTCAGCGTCAAGACGGAGTCGGGCACCAAGAACCTGCGCATCCAGTGCGAGGGCGGCAGCTTCTCCCTGCAGAGCGACCCTGGCAGCAGCCAGCCCGTGCCCCGCTTCGACTGCGTGCTCAAGCTGGTACATCACTACATGCCGCCCGCGCCCTGCGCCGTCCCCGAGCAGCCGGGGGGGACCCTGCACCCCAAGCGCACCTACTACATCTACTCAGGCGGCGAGAAGATCCCTCTGGTGCTGAGCCGCCCCCTCTCCTCCAGCGTCTCCACCCTGCAGCACCTCTGCCGCAAAACCGTCAACGGGCACCTGGACTCCTACGAGAAGATGACTCAGCTGCCGGCTCCCATCAAGGAGTTCCTGGACCAGTATGATGCCCCCCTCTAAGGGGCCAGCAGAGCGAGGTTACATGCTACAAGCACAAGAGCAGGGGACAGGCACAACACCCCACCGGCACGGGGACTCGCAGGGCACACGCCAAGCCTCTCCCTCTGGGAAGGAGAGGAGGGGGACTGGGACGAGCAGCAGTGGGCCCGGGGCTGTGGCCAGCACAGCCTGGCACCCTTTGTGCTGGGGGATCCCCCGAGGAAGGGTGACACCCCCTCTCCGCGGGGAACGAGACTGCTCCAGTCGGACTGTGGATGTTACAGTGCACCCAGGGAGAGTGGCCGTAGAGAGCCCGATGACGAAGCCCCCGTGGGGCTCGGGCAGCCAGGACGGCACTCGCGGCACAGGGGGATATGTGCCCCAACAGCCGCATCCCCGCCGCCGTGGCGGGACCACACCCGGGGGAGGCCTGGCGAGAACCCCCTTCTGCCACCAGAGAATGGAAAGTGCTGGAGTCCAGCTAGTGCCTGATCGCTTTTCCCCGGTTTTAAGGGGAAAGTGTTTTTTGCCCGTACTGTACTTTACCTCTTGCTGCCTCCTTGTGGGTGGAAGCTCCTTTCACACCAGGCCCCAGGCTTGGAGGTCGCTGCCTTTTTCCCCTCGTTGCCATTTTCTGGGGGACTAAGCCTTAATATTCTCCCTGCCCCGTGGTCTGGGTTACTGCACATCGTTTGGTGACACTGCGCGTTAATGATCCCAGTGATGTCCCGTGAAGCCAGAGAGGAAGCAGCGTGTCCTGATGCTGCTGAGAGTCCCGCACGACCACGTCTGCAAGGAGCACGCGGGGACCCGGTGCTGCCGCTGGACCGTTACTCCCGAGTGTCGCACCCTCCTCTGCCCGGCCGCTCCCCGCACACCCCTGACACTCTGCTCCACAGGGGCACCGATTCCCGCAGGAACATGGCAGGAGCATCCTCTGGAGCGCATCATCTTGCAAGCGCTTTTCTGCGTCCGCCTGGAGAAGCGGTTGGGTTTTTTTCTGGCTTTTTTTTATTTTTTATTTTTTTTAACCGAAGGGATGTTTACAGGTCAACGTGAATCACTGTCTTTTATAAAGATTCCATCTTCACCTCCAGCCTCGAGGGCTGAGCAAAACCATGCTTGAAAATTCAACCAAAACAAAACTCAGATGAAACTTTGCACATATTTATATTTATATTCAGAAAGGAAACGTTTCCATAATTTATAATAAAGAGCACTATTTTTTAATGAAAAACCCCCAGATCTGGTTTGTTTCCTCCCCTGCACCCCCAAGGCCGCTCGGGCCCCCCGGCGTGACGCACGTCCCTCCCCGGCCGCTGCCCTCGCTGCAATGCCGGGATGGTGTTTACACCACGTAAGCGCCGGCTTCCTGGAGCCACTCTCCGGGAC